AAGTTGAATTTCGACAAAGTTGCTCACTGGAAAAATGTTAAAGCCTGCCATGAAAGTTGCCACTGGAAAAGAAATGATAAATTAAAATATATTAACGAATGGAATTATATTTCCGAGATTTTGATTGTTTCCACTCCATTGGCTGGTTGAAGCGTCGCACGATTTTTTAGGACTGGATATAGAAGGCGCATTTAATCTCGCAAATTCTTACGAAAGAAGATGGAGACATGTCAGGTAAAAGGTGCCGCACCGCATGTCGGTGGACCCATCCAGAATTTGCTCTTCGTAAATTGACAAGGTATCACTTAACTTACAGACTGTCCGAAAGGTTCACAAGAACAGAAAACTGCTTAGCCCAGTATATAGTCTTATAATTCTGAATTTTGCCCAACTTCTTACTTATAATATCATGTCCTGCAGTAATGATACGCATGTTCGGCCTTAAATCCATTGAGGCGAAAAACGTACTAAGTGCGCCAAGTGGTATCTTCTTCCAGAAAATCCTTTTTTTAAATTACATCAGGCGTTCAAATTGCGCCTACACTGACTTTGGCGCGTGCCCGGTAAAGATGGTTGAGATTATTCGCGTTTAGATAGATTAGATATTCATGACATCTTGATGTGTTGCAGGGATTCCCTTTCCAAATTTATTTGTTGGTTCGTCATTGCGTTTGTCTTCTTCGATGACAAAGCTGCGTATCTCGCTCAGTCACTTTGGCGGTTGACAAATGATACGGCGTGCTATGCCTGCTGGCGGCACTCGCTCATCTGCATTAACCAAGAGTGTTCCAATCCTAACAAAATACATATCAGAGATCCTAGCCGAGCTTTGTCGACTCTCCATAGACAACTATATAGAATAACTGTATCATAACAAGAATAATCTAATCCGTTGACTTTACAGATCTTGCTTAGAGCGCGCCTAAAAATTGATGAAGCCCACGTCTTTACGCGCCTACCTAAATCAGTAAGCCGATTTGTTTTTTTAAACAAAATACCTTATCTCTTCATGGTCTTGCCATTGTAGAACGAAGGCGCCAGCAAAGTCAAGCAGGGCGTCTGTTCGATGCGCCCCCGCAAGCGACACCGCCACGTCAAGTTTGACACGGACGGATGCCAGCCAGCTGTAGCGGCAACCAGATTGACGATGGCGTTTCGCTGACATATCTACGAGAAATGTCGCTGTTCGCCGTAGTGCCCACCAGAGGACGGCCGTGCAAGCTGCCGAAAATCTGTTAACTAGTGTTGTTTCATTGAAAAAGCACACTCTGACTGCGTTTTAAAAAGAGTTCGAGGTAGGAGTTTCAAGCGAGAAGGAGAAGCCGATATTTGATGCGGAGAAAAGCGGCACGGACGTGACGTGAGTGAGCAGCGAGATGAGAGAGAGAGGAAGAAGATAGAAAGAGAGAGAAGAGAGAGAGAAGAGAGATGGAGAGAGAGATGAGAGAGGAGAGAGGTGGTGGGAGAAGAGAGGGAGGAGAGAGAGAGAGCGAGCGAAGGACGTAGTGAAAAATCTTCGAGGCCTCTAGTTAATGTTAACGTTTTTAATAGAAATACTTAGTACTAATTCCTTCAGTTAATATGTTACATAGCCACGAAATTTAATTCGATCCACATTTATATATGTTTCGATTATCATTTGACATGCCGTATTCAGATTAAGTTTATTTATTGAAAGAGTTAATTGCTTTTTTTATCTTCACGCCCAGTTCGACATCCCACTAGGACTTAAATTATTCACACATCATCGGATTATTGCGCCTCAAAACAGGAAAAAAAAATCGATTTTGGAAATGCCTGTATTCCATGTACATAGTATTTGACATTCTTTACCAAATGTCACATACGTCGTATATTAACGTTGGTTTCACGACGTATTCGGCACACTAGTTCGCTGTTAAAAACCCGCCACTTATTCGAGAATGAATCTCACGTCACGTTGTTTAGGACGCATTACATTATACTGCCTGCTGCTTAAATAACTACAATTGATATAGTACGCTAGTTAACTGAATTTATTATGTGTACTGTTATTACTGTCCCGCGTTAATTGTCAGCAGTCTATTGTCATGCAGGAAACGAGATAATCCAGTGATTCCTCAATCAATAGGGAATAAACTTCTTTTCCCTTGCTGCATGTAAGCTCTTGCTTTCCAATTATTCTTATTTATTTACTAGAAATCATAGGGTAATCCATGTGTGTTTTAATTGTTACTGAATATCATTAATGCGCAGATGACCACTCCAGAGTGATTCTGGAGCCAGCCGTCATATTCCACGGCTGTGATTACATTATGGCCAGCATTCTGACAGGTTAGCATTCATCGTCATCGAAATATCAACACGGAACATACAAACAAACTCGTCCTTATCACGGATATCAATGTAATATCGATAAATAGTAATAAGTTGTATTCTAAGTAAGTCACAGTCTAATGAGCCGTGTATATATACATATATAATCGTATTAAAAAAACGCGCGTTTTCTTGCTAGTACATGTCTCGTTTTTGATCGTGTTAATATTGGAATTCGACTAGACAACCATTGGCTTATAATAATTATATGAGTTTGATTTTCTGATTTACTTGTTTAGGGATACTCGACAGACTCTGGTCCTTCTGCGGCTCAAGGCTAGAATAAGAAGAACAAGAAGCGCCACAGACACCCCGACACACACACAAAACACACAATACACACACCACACACCACGCACACACACACACGCCACACATTTCCGACACACGAGCAACACACCATTCACACACACACAACAACACACACACACACCACACACACACACACACACCACACACACACACACACACACACACACACACCACACAACAACACGCACGCACGCGCACACACAACCACACACACACACACAACCAACACCAATCACACACACACACACACACACAACACACGCACGCACGCGCCCACACACACACGCACACACACACAACACACCACACACACACACACACAACACACCAACCACACACACGCTGTCCTCGCCTTCATTGGGTTTGACTTGGTGCGAATACATTTTGCAGGGCCTAAGGAAACCGAAATAGCGGATTATCTGCGAGAATGGTCTGCACAAAACGTGCCGAAAACCTTGTGATGCTACTAGTACTTCATGGAAAACGGCAGGTTAAAAACAATCGGACGATTTCTATCATTAATACTTATCATGATCAGATATGGCGACATATATCAAGCGGCAATATATATATATATATATATATATATATATATATATTGTTGCTAATCTGGGATATCCAAATTTCTCTTACACTAATCAATATATATATATATATATATATATATTAATATATATATATATTGATAGGTAGAGAAATTTGCTATCCCAGATTTATTTTGAAACGTATAAGAAACGCAAAAAACCAGTCGAATTTAGAAGAGAGTTACGTAGCTATAGTCTAACAAAAATGTAATTTAAAATAGAATATCTGACATCAATACAATCAAAATTCAACCTGGCAACTACATCTACTAGATATAACACGTCGCATCCTAAAGACTGAGCCTGCTCTAGTTTATTAAGTTAAGTGTATATTTGCAAGTGAAGTGAAGTGATACAATACTGGTGAAATCTGCCCTTCGGCTTACAGACCATATACCTCACGCGCCTATTGCGCCCATATGTCGAGGAAAGCGTGTAGTCAGTACTGGCCCGATTGGATCGGCGCTGTAACATACGGCTCAGGTCCGGACAGTGGAGCTACTGGGTAAGGTAGTGATGCCACACTCACACGCTACGCCGCACGTTCTCCATAACGGTCGGCTAAGTTTTGCGAGGCACGTAGTTTGATTTCACCGCGTCGGCACTATATAAACGTCGCGTTATACAAGATATTCACTTGGAGTATAGGTAGTTCGTTATAAGCCCCCGACACAAATATCTCCGCAGGGTTTTCCAGCTTTTCCAACGTCGTTACTAGTCGTGGACAACTGCGGCGCAAACGAGAGAAGTGAACCCACTTCCATCTTAGCACGTCGTGGCCGCGACCACGGCGTTCCTCCAGTATCCGGCAATCCATCATAAGCTTCATCGTAGGCCTGTAAAGGGAGCGCATTGTGTAGCGTCGGGATGAACCGCTACTAGTCCACTGCAGGTTAAACTTTCCGTACACACCCGTGCGCACTGCACGCCAAGGCACACACACACACATATTATTAATTATTATTATTAATTATTATTATTATTATTAGTAGTAGTAGTAGTAGTAGTAGTTAGTAGTCAGTAGTAGTAGTAGTAGTAGTAGTAGTCGCAGCTAGTAGTAGTAGTAGTTGGTAAGTATGTAGTGGTAGTAGTCAGTAGTCAGTAGTAGTAGTAGCTAGTAGTATTAGTAGTTAGTAGTAGAGTAGTAAGTAGTTCAGTAAGTCAGGAGTAGTTAGTGTAGTAGTAGTAGTTCAGTAGTAGTAGTAGCTCCAGTACCGTAGTATCAGTACGAATAGTATAGCAGTCAAGAAACAATCATTTAACATTTAATAAGTGTATTGTAAGATTGTGAATATATACAGTAAAACTTCTGCCGATACCGTCTTATCCATATAGTGGAACAGACGGGCTTATACGTGGTTGTTGTTAATGCTGCTGGAATCCGGTCGTACTGATGGAACATTTTTGGCTTATCACCATCTTGCCTAGAACAGGCAGAAAAGATGGCGTCGTTTGACGTCAAAACCTGTGTACAAGACATGAGGAAATAGCAGAATCTGGGATATCAAATTTCTCTTACACTAATCAATATATATATAATGTATATATATATATATATATAAATACGTAATATATATGAAATTAATTTAACGTCGATAATAAATTTGCACTGCCCCCCAGCGCGTGTTTGACCGATGAGGTGAAACTAACTCATTACAATTCAACGATGCGACACGGTTCCTGATCGAGCAGGCATTGGATCGCCTAGAAATGAATTACTATGAATTCGTGAAGGCCTCACTCACTCACCTTTGTGTAAACGGCGTTGATGTAGTCGTGACCGCTCGTGTAAAGGCGGTTCAGGAACGGACGCTGATTATCCTCTGTACATACATGCAATAGAAGCAATAGTAGATTACATTACATATTACCTTAGAATCTAACAGGTAATCGACTGCAATTAATTAACTGTTATTCTATCCGTATACCGTACGCCCACACGCACACGCACACGGGCACGCGCATGTCCACCCGCACGTACAGACACGCGCACATAACGCTCACATACACGCACACACGCATCCGATATATATATATAATTATACACACCGGATGTTTCTTATGACGTGCACGCGGGGACTTACGCGGAACTATATCCGGAAATCGGTTTTTGTCGCGGTGCTCCGTCGCGCTTTTAACATTTGCTGGTATGGTGTCCATTCTCATCCGTTTGAGCCACTGCAATAATGAACGTGACCACACATGAAACTACGTAAACTGTTAATAATAAACACAAGCCACGTCGGCGCCATCATTTTGTTTATGATCAACATCTTTCTGTCTGTCTGTCTGTCTGTCTGTCTGTCTGTCTGTCTGTCTGTCTGTCTGTCTGTCTGTTTGTCTGTCTCGGGGTTACCTCATATTGTTGTTCTATTGTTGGTAGATCGTTTCCCGGCTGTTGCAGCTTCTTGTAGTAATTCGAAAATTGTTCGGCATCTACAGTGGTTCCCTTGAATATCAGTGCCTCTAGTATGGCGTCATGAATGAATGTGTATTGGGCCTGTCGTAACAACATGGGAGCCAATTTTGATATCTAAAGATTGATAATATTTCTACGGATGCTCTTTTTACACAGTAATTTTATAGTGAACAGTCGTGTGAGAACAATTATATTACGTCGTGAATGAACACACTTCACTTACTATTATTGTTACCATGGAAACAAATAAAAAATGCCAAATTATTATATTTATTATATATAGATTATTATATATTACGTTGACAGCGGGGACTATGTCGACATGGATGATGATTACGATAAATATGAGAATAAACAATCAAGAACGGTTAGCTTACGTGCTGTCTGGTAGACGGCCACAGAGGTGTCGCTACCACACAGGTAAAGCGTCGATCCAGGCCCGCACGGTGCGCACTCAGCTGACGGTGCATCGTAGGGGTATCCGTTCCCACACAGACAGATTTGCTCGCGCAGGCCCGCAAACATGAAATCTTTATTCTGGCAATAAGTTCTGCAGTTCGCCCGCTGCCCTTTACTACTGTATTTCGACTCGGTGAGCCACGACCCGTCCTGGTCATTCCGGAAGCAGCCGACCAGGAATTCCGTATCACCTGGAAATAAGTCGACATATACATTTGTGATAGGAATGCGATACTTGTGTGCGAAATTGCGCTATTATCCCTTACAATTGCAGTGCACTAGTAGAACAATAAGGAAGGTCTCTAGCACACGAAGAAAGTTTTGCGCGTATGCGCGAGAATCCTCACTACTATGCCTCTCCGTTGGTGTTTTCTACGATGGAAGTGAACGATAAATGGGTTACATAAAATACATATCCAACATAATTGTAATTTGTCACACGAGCACTATCGATTAAAAGTGCAAGGCACTATGGAATATTTAAACTATAATCGCTATAAACACATTTATACAACATAACGGCGAGGCAACTACTGTTAAACACTCCTCCCTCTGAAACTAGTTCAATAAAAGTGTTGAATATAGATGTAACACCCGATATCGTAGATCATACCGCTAAGAAATACTTACCGTTGTTTACCGTTGCGCCGGTGGTGGCGCTGCTCAGAGATGCTGCGTTCGCTCCACACTGCAACGTCGGCGAATCATCGCACGCACGACACACGGGGGCGCTGCTATTGCCGCCGATCCAATTGAATAGATTACCACATCTGCATGACGGCGTGGCGGTCGGTGCAGATAGGCCGGCAAAGACGCTGCCTAGCTGTCTGCAAGTGCCGACGCACGCAGCGGAGTCGGCCGATTCGTAGAGCGGCGTAGAAGTTACGAATTCTCGCACGGTGGCGGATGGCCAGCACTGACTTGCCGTCGCTACCCATAACAAGATTAGATAGATTAGCTTACGATGAGTTTAGATTAGATATCTTACATCGGAATCGCCCGCGATGTGTCGCCTTGACACTACATGATGCACGTCTGCGAATTTGATTTTCAGGGGAGTAAAAATTGCTGATGACGTCACGCTCCCGATATATATATATATATATTCCGACTAATTTGTGAGTCCTAATAATTTCTTCTAACTATTGCCAGTTCTCAACATTCGTGGAGTTAACTTAATGTACCGATTCTATACGATAAGAATAGATATCGAAAGGCTTGAGTAACTTTTTAAAAACCTCACATCTTACACAAATAATTATAACTTGATAGCGTTTTATGTAATATAGTTGGTGCGATAGATTGCACGCCGTCATCGGCAGCTGTTCGAATGTACATGAACGCATATTCCAGCTTACCAAACATTTTCTGAAGTACGTTCTGTGGCCTGATACATGTATGTACGTACCTGTGATAAACAGAGCAGAAGTAAGCAGCCATCCGGCGCAAAGTAACGACGTCATATCTTTAGTGTTAGCTGTCTATACACGTCGATGCTTCTTCCTCTACAGCAATCACCACAGACGTGACCTATCGACACGATGACGTTGTTGATGTTATATTCTATTTAATTTCCTAACGTAAAAAGGTCCGATGATATTCGAATCATACTTGGGTGATATAAACCAACCTACTACCAAAAGATAACGTGTCGTATAGCGATACTTGTGCTGTGCAGTTGAAAATAGGATGCAATTCAGGAAGGTCACGCCTCATTCAGTTGCCACCACTATCATCCGGTGTGCATTCGGTTTGTCTTTGTTTCCCGGAAGGTACTTCTTCACGCAATTTCCCCCACATAGCAGTAAGCATACGCGAAACAAAAATAGAACGTAGCATGCACAACTTCGTCGTTTCGCCCACTCGGTTTGGTTGCATGCATTTTTCTACCGGCGCGGCGGTTCCTTCGGTCTAAACACAATACTTATTATAACTATTTTCTACTACATTTATATCTATGTGTGTATGTGTGTATGTATGTATCTATCTATCTTACTATCTATCTATCTATCTATCTATCTACATATCTATCTATCTATCTATCTACCTATATATCTATCTAGCTATCCACCCGTCCGTCCAGTCATCCATCCATCCATCCATCCATCCATCTGTCTGTCTATCCATATACCAAACTGCGTTTACCTGCACGAGTACGACATATTCTTTAATGATGCCAATTCCACTCTGCGTTCCTGCCTCCCAGACTATATCAGCGGAAAACGCACCAAATTCCCGTATTTGCGCGGCGAATGGTCGTGGATTCTCTGCGATAGAATATAAAAGTCTGACAATTCCTCATAAGTAAAAAATAACTCATATCCAATTTCAGTATAGTAACTATCCAATGCAATACAACCTATTCTAACCTGCTTCTACTTTGAAATTTCCGGTAACTTTATAAACAATATACAGCGTTCACAAAATTATATAGCATACTAAACTGACATAGTGGATAGTTTACTCACATAATTATGCTCGCCTGATATGTGAAAATATCAAATTAAGCATAGGAATTCGATTTTTCGTTCAATAACTTTAGATACGCATTAACGCCTTTTCATATATTAGCGTACCTTATACAGTACTATTTAAGGTACTATAATATAAGGTTTTGCACATCAATGCGCTATCCGCACCTATTGTACACGTCGGTCCATGTGTGTCTGGGCAGTCCATGTTCACGCATGTGACGTCTGTTGGCTTGTTACTACACCATTGGTTTTCCCGACATCGACTCTTGCAGTTCGCCGGCTCAGCTAAAAAGGTTATTTGTTCAACAGCAGGCAGACGGCATAGACTCGCAATTTTCCCTGATCATTTTAATTATTTGGGCGTGTGTGTGTATACATGGGCGCATGTGGATGAATTTGTATGTGTAAATAGGTATAGATAATGATTTAGTTGGTTGCATCATAGGTAAATCGTTCTCCTAACTGATTAATTTGGGCCGAACTCTACTCTTTCTCTATGATCATATTTCTATGGATGCTCTTTTTACACAGTAATTTTATAGTGAACTGTCGTGTGAGAACAATTATATTACGTCGTGAATGAACACACTTCCTGATCAGTAGATAATCATATATTGTAGCTAATTGTTTTCCATGTGAATGGTAGGCCTACAGTCTGAAATCCGGGTTCGCGCATGCGCAGTAGCTAACTGTATTATTCATATTTTGATTTGAAAATTTATTTAAAATGGAAGCGGGCTACACACAAGTAGATTTATGCTATAAATATACATCGCCATGCTTCTGGTAAAAGAGGGTACGACGCCCTAGCCTGCAGGGTACCCCGGACAGAGTGTTTCTGGCAGCAGTTTCTCAGATACACGTACTTGTATATATTCCCCCAAATACTCGTTTTTTAACAGATAATGGGCATATGCAACCCAGTATATTACCGCCTGGTACATTAGCAAATATTCAATAATTTTATCTATGCTGTATAGTCTGAAATCTGGGTTCGCGCATGCGCAGTATCTGACTGAATGATTCATATTTTGATTTGAAAATTTATTTAAAATGGAGGCGGGCTACACACAAGTAGATTTATGCGATAAATATCCATCGCCATGCCTCTGGTAAAAGAGGGCACGACGCCCTAGCTTGCAGGGTACCCCGGACAGAGTGTTTCTGGCAGCAGTTTCTCGGATACAAGTACTTGTATATATTACCCCAAATACTCGTTTTTTAACAGATAGGCCTACTGGACATATGCAACCCAGTATATTACCGCCTGGTACATTACAAAATATTAAAGAATTTTACCTATGCTGTATAGTCTGAAATCCGGGTTCGCGCATGCGCAGTATCTGACTGAATGATTAATATTTTTATTTGAAAACGTAATTAAAATGGAGCCGGGCTACACACAAGTAGATTTATGCGATAAATATCCATCGCCATGCCGCTGGTAAAAGAGGGCACGACGCCCTAGCTTGCAGGGTACCCCTGACAGAGTGTTTCTGGCAGCAGTTTCTCAGATACAAGTACTTGTATATATTCCCCCAAATACTCGTTTTTTAACAGATACTGAGCATATGCAACCCAGTATATTACCGCCTGGTTGGGCCTACATTAACAAATATTCAAGAATTTTATCTATGCTGTATAGTCTGAAATCCGGGTTCGCGCATGCGCAGTATCTGACTGAATGATTCATATTTTGATTTCAAAACGTATTTAAAATGGAGCCGGGCTACACAAGTAGATTTATGCGATAAATTTCCATCGCCAAGCCTCTGGTAAAAGATGGTACGGCGCCCTAGCTTGCAGGGTACCCCTGACAGAGTGTTTCTGGCAGCAGTCTCTCAGATACAGGTAGGCCTACAGATACAAATACTCGTTTTTTAACAGATACTGGTCATATGCAACCCAGTATATTACCGCCTGGTACAGAAAATATTCAAGAATTTTATCTATGCTGAATAGTCTCAAGTCCGGGTTCGCGCATGCGCAGTATCTGACTGAATGATTAATATTTTGGTTTTGAACTACATTTAAAATAGAGCCGGGCTACCCACAAGTAGATTTTCGCGATAAATTTCCATCGCCAAGCCTCTTGTAAAAGATGGTACGGCGCCCTAGCTTGCAGGGTACCCCGGACAGAGTGTTTCTGGCAGCAGTCTCTCAGATACAGGTTTTTTAACAGATACTGGGCATATGCAACCTACATTAACAAATATTCAAGAATTTTATCTATGCTGTATAGTCACTGATCTCTATAATATAATCGATTATATTATAGAGATCGATTCGATTATATTATATTCGATTATATTATATTATAGAGATCGAGATTCGATTATATTATAGAAATCAGTGTGTATAGTCTGAAATTCGGGTTCGAGCATGCGCAGTATCTGACTGAATGATTCATATTTTGGTTTTGCAATGTATTTAAAATGGAGCCGGGCTACCCACAAGTCGATTTCCGACTTTGACCTACTGCAATAATGCTCAGGCAGTGATTTGTATGTTATGGCTTTGGTTTCTTATAAGTGCAGTTGAGTCGTTTACCGGTGTCTGGACCATGTTGACCCTGCTTTTCCTCATCGTCTGTACACAGGTTTTGACGTCAACGACGCCATCTTTTCTGCCTTGTTCTAGCAAGATGGTGATAGCCAAAAATGTTCCAGTACGACCGATTCCAGCACTATTAACAACAACCACGTATAAGCCCGTCTGTTCCACTATATGGATAAGACGGTATCGTGCAGAAGGTTTTACTGTATATATTGCACAATCTTACAATACACTTATTAAATGTTAAATGATTGTTTCTTGACTGCTAGATACTATTACTACTACTACTACTACTACTACTACTACTACTACTACTACTACTACTACTACT